AAGTGAAGGTGGGGGAGAGGGGACAGGGGGACAGGGTGGAGGACAGAGGGGACAGAGGGGACAGAGGGGACAGAGTGGAGGAGACGGTGGAGACGGTGGAGAGCGTTGACGATCTCGTCTGTAACACACACAACATTCCTAACCTTCAACAATGAACAAATCAAACAGTGGACGGAGATAAAGACACACACACACACACACACACACACACACACACACACACACACACACACACACACACACACAGAGTGCCTCTTAATAATGGTGTCAGCAGAAGCCACGTTGACACTGATGGATGGGGTTGGGACCTTCAGGGGCCAGAGAAATGACCTCTCCACCAATGAGGAGCCAGGCCTGTGACCTTTGGACCAATCACAGCACTTCCAGGTCAAATGTGACCGGAGGGCGAGCGCTGGGACAATCTGTCCATCTGGGAATGAATGAATGAATGAAGGAGAAGATGGAGTAGGACCACCGTAGAGAGAGAGAGAGAGGCAGAGAGAGAGAGAGACCTTCATAAATGTTGGAGCTGTAAATCAGTTTTATTGTTGTTTATCTGTTTATTCATCAACATAAACCTTATTTTAAATGTCAGCTTTGAAATAATAATAATAATAATAATATAAATATTTCTCCGACCCACGAACATCTTACAATGAGTCAAATAACATGATGAGGAGGAAGAGTTTTTATATTTATAACATGATTTACACATGGATCTGGAGTCAATGTTGGTTCTGTCTCACTGCAGACCCAGGTCCTGGTCCTGGTCCCAGTCTCCTGGTCCCAGTCTGGTCCTGGTCTCCTGGTCCCAGTCTTCTGATTGGCCGAGACAGGACGTCAACACTTCAGGAGACGTCATGGTCAAGAAGTCGCTCTTCTCACGGCGCAGACTGAACTTCCTGTCCTGGGTGAGTCTCTCTCTCTCACACACACTCACACACACACACACACACACACACACAAGGTTCTGGACGTTCATGTTAGCGACTACGGCTACGCTAACACAGCAGACAAACTGAGGCTGAGCTGAAGGAACGCTCCAGAACATTTTGTGAGGAAGTGAGCGACACCACGGAAGACATGTGTTAAACATTATGACACACACACACACACACACACACACACGCTCTCTCTCTCCAGAGTCAGGAGGTAAATCAGTGGTGACTGTAGCCTGGTCACGGTGATGGATAGACGCTGGGTTTGCCTTCCTGCTGCCCAGTCCACACGGGCCATGTGGAAACACACACACACACACACACACACACACACACACGTCTGTTTATTTACAGCCAGTGTCAAACTGCAGAGATTGATTATAAATGAACACTGGCTCATGATTAGCTTCAAAACGACGCTGTGCGTGTGTGGGTTTATGCGCGGTTGGGTGTGGGTGTGTG